TCTGTCTCCTGGGTTTAGGAAGTTCTCAGTGCAAGGACACTGGGTCCAAAGGTTAGGGTTCACTTCCTGCTCATTGTCTTGGTGGAAATGAGGTTCCCCTTTTCACCTCTGGGATAGGTCATTTGAAGCCTAGTGGGATGGCAGAACTGACCAGTCCCCTCCTTAGGGCTCCCTACTCCAGTTTGCATGGTTCCACCAGCTGTGCACAGCTTAGATGTAGTAGCAGTGGATTATTAAATCCTCTTGGGGTGCCACAAGCACACCTAGTTATTTGGTGGGAGTTGCAACACCATGGTGAGTGAGGAAGGCCATATAAAAAACTATTGTCATGCAAGATGGGATGCATTAATGTCTGTTTTTATGGCTTGGGAACTGAGGAGGATGTTTGTTTGAGTTCTCTGCACCCTTTGCTCTCCCTTCCCAGCCTCACATTTCCCTTCTCCAACTTAGACAAGGTGTAGAAGGGTGCTTACCCCATCACGTCTTAGGAAGCAGTGTGGAGTACAATTGCCTTTAGTTTAGGTTCATAGATCAGGTGTGGGCTTCATGGGAGGTCAAACTCACAGCTTGGCCAGGGACCAAGTGCTGTCTCAGAAGCAGTGCCTTTGGGTGGCCGTGGTTTGGAGGGTGACTATGCAGGTAAGATGTATTGGGTGTGAATTTTGTTTCCTGCCTCTGCTCTGAAAGCCCCATCTCCGTGCCAGCTCTGTGCTTGGGCAGGGGGATAGTGGGGCCCACAGGCATGACACTTTGCTGCTTTGAGGAGAAGACACGTGGTGGTAGGAGTGGGGTCTCTTCCTGATTCAGTGCTGAAGGCCTGACTTCCCTCCTCTCCTGTTCCTGCCAGGATCCTGGCCACGGCTGGCACTGACTTCGACCTGCGGACGCTGCGGGCTGTGCGTGTGTTAAGGCCCTTGAAGCTTGTGTCTGGGATTCCGAGTGAGTCCAGCAAAGGCAGTTAGTCCAGCCCACCAGAATACTAACCCTCCGTGCATCCACACACTCACCCCTAAGTAGTGGACCCTTTGGCCTTGGTGGACTTGGAGCTTGCCGCTCTTGATCCCAGGAGATTAGGTGGGACAAGGGGAAGAGCAGTCCTTTTCCTTTCGAGCTCATTTCCCACACGGCCCAGAGGTGACTTTGTTATTTTGCCCTGACTTGGCTTCCCAAGGTGGATGTTTTTCTCCTCCTTTTACTCTTTGCTGTGCTTCAGTTCTTGATCCTTACTCTGGGGTAAAAGAACAAATGAGGGATGTACCAAGATGGAGGGAGGGAGCAGGAGGCCTGAGAAAACGTCCAGATGGCTGCTGGTTTTAGCTCAGGACCAGTAGAGCTGCTGGGAGAAGGGTCTTTCTGCCTCACTTTCTCCAAGAAGTTGGATCCCCAGGTACTCTGGCTTTGCTCCCAGAATATCCTGTTCTTCCATCCCAGGATCCAGGATCCCTTACCCACCACCTCAGCATCCCCAGCTCTTCCCCTTCACAATACCCTGCTTTTCCCTCTCAGGACCCCTAAGCACCCTCTGAGTCCCCTGTTCTTTCTCCTCAGGATTCCCTGTTCTTCTACCCCTCAGCAACCTTGATTCTTCCCTCTCAGGACCCCTGACCAGCCCCCTCAGAGTCACCTGCTCTTCCTTCTCAGAATTCCTGATCAATCCCCCACTCAAAATCCCCTGCTCTCCCCCTAATCCGCTGCTCTTTCCTCTCAAGACTCCTGGCCATACCCCTCAGGATCCCCTGTTCCTCCCCCTCAGGATCCCCTGTTCCTCCCCCTCAGAATCCCTTGCTCTTCCCTCGCAGGACCCCTGACCATCCTCCTCAGAATCCCCTACTCTTGCTTCCCAGGATCCCCAGCTCTTCCCTCTTAGGATCCCCTGCTCTTCTCTCCTGAGAGTTCCTGCTCTTGCCGCACTCTGAGCCCTTCCTGGTCGGTCCCCAGCCCACAGTCCCCTCTGGACTTCATGCTTGGACAACTACACCTTGCTCTTCCCATACTAAGACACTGCAGAACCAGCCTCCCCTGGACCTGAGCTTGGCTACCCAAGGACTCTCAGCTCTGTCCACATTATCTGCACCCCAGATTCTATGCTCAGCACCTACTCTCTCCCCACTGGAGGGCTTCTTTAGCTCCTCCTTGCCCCCTAAGGTCTCACCCCTGCCCCAGGCCCTGCTGATCTGCCCACCCTCCCTCTCTGCCACCCTTCTGCTTGCTGACCACCGTCCTGCCCACTCTGGCCCAGGTTTGCAGGTGGTGCTCAAGTCCATCATGAAGGCCATGGTCCCGCTCCTGCAGATCGGGTTGCTTCTCTTCTTCGCTATCCTCATGTTCGCCATCATTGGACTCGAGTTCTACATGGGCAAATTCCACAAGGCCTGTTTCCCCAACAGCACAGGTAGGCATAGCTGCCCCTCGGGCTCGGGCCACTACACACTCAGGCACCTGACAGTCCAGTGGGGGACACAGGCAAAGTGCCCCAACAAACAGGGCTACTAAACAAACATAAATAAAGTTCAGATGGTGGCAAGTTCTAGGAATGCTACCAAAAGGGTGTTTGAAATAGAGACTCAGGGTCTGCTTTAGACAAGGGCAGGGCATCACTGGACAGAGGTCTGAAGGGAGGAGAGGGGGGGCTCAGTGCCAAGAGGAACAGCAGGACAAGGGACAGTCACGTGAGACTCGCAGTCCTGTCCTGGGAGGACTGGGGGACAGCCTCTGGCTTTGCAGACTGATCTGTAAAGAGATGCAAAAATGGAAGCCAGGGGTCACTCCTAGAGTGTGTCAGTCCAGGGGGAGGTGGTGGGGGCCGGGATGGGGTGGTCCAGGTGGGTAGACGGGGCCCAGTTCTGGCTAGACTTCGTAGGCAAAGTCAGCAGGGTTTCTAGAGGGATTTACGAGTGTGTGGATGGAGTAGAAGAGAAACTGGAGCGTTAAGGATAACCCTAAGATGATGGGGTTAAACCACAAACAAATTAAAGGGGAAAAAATCCAGAGGACCAACTTGAAATCATTCATGAGTTAAAAAAGCAAACAAACGAAGAAACAGCTCTTATCATAAAACTGAAAATGAAAGGGAACTTAACTTCCCTAACACTTCTGTAAACGACGTAATTGTAAGACTTGAGGAGTTTCCCGTAAAAGTCGAGAACAAAGCAGGGGCCTATAGGTCACTTCTACCCCGATATCCCGTAGAGTGGTCACAGCCCGCCTAGTGAGACAGAAAAGGAGAAGAATCGTTTTCAGAGTTGAGAAGGAGAAAGCAAACTGGTTATTCACAGAAGCATGAGCCCTGATAGACTAGTGGATGCTGAGTGGGCTGCTAACTGCAAGATGAGCAGTTCTAATCTACCAGTCGTTCCGCAGGAGAAAGATGAGACTTTCTGCTTCTGTGAGGATTTACGTCCTCGGACACTCTATGGGTTGCTATGGGTCGGAAGCGACTCCACCACTATTCACAAAAACTGTACTTGTCTACAATTAGAAAACTATGACTTCACAGTTTTCTTTACAAGCTTCTTATTTGGAGTGCAAGAAACACGTTGTCAGTTATGCCCTGTGAGCCTGGGAATATTAGCTTTCTACCCTAGAAATTCCTCAAAATTTCTTCTATGTAAATAAGAAAGCTTTCTGTGTATTATAAAAGGATTGCTTTCCAACTGGTTTTTCTGCCCTTTGGATGAGGTTTTGGGAGCAAGGTGCGGCTGGCCACCTTGGTCCTGGTATTTCCCACCCCGTGTGGAAGCTGGGGCCCTATTCCCGGCTCCTGCTGCATCTTCTCTGAGCTGTGTGGGTGATAAGCACCTAGACTGCCCAGCAGCCAAGTCCAGCTTGAGGCTGGGCCGAGGCCATCTCAAGTGGGTGCTGGGTACTCTGAGGAAAACCAGACTGGCAGGTAGGTGGTGAGAGGGGAGAACTCGGAGCCACAATGGCAGGGAGAGCTTGTTCTGAAGAGAAAAGCATCCTGAACATGTTTGAATGAAGATGGACAGCTTCCAGCAGAGAGAGAGGTTTTCCCACTGTTCCTGGGAGGTGCAGGGACATGTTCTAGGCAGGAGAGAGCCAGAGCAGGCCCAGGAGGGATGGTGGGAGGTCACAGGAGTTTCCCTGGGTGCCCAGCTCCTGCCAGCCTACAGAAAGCCTGGCGTGGGCTGAGGAGAGCGCCTATATTCAGGTCTGGGCTTGGTTCTCCTCCTCACAGATCCGGATCCTGTGGGAGACTTCCCCTGTGGCAAGGAGGCCCCGGCCCGACTGTGTGAGGGGGACACGGAGTGCCGGGAATACTGGCCGGGGCCCAACTTTGGCATCACCAACTTTGACAACATCCTGTTTGCTGTCCTGACGGTGTTCCAGTGTATCACCATGGAAGGATGGACTGACATCCTTTACAATGTAAGTAGCGTGAGGCCCCAGCCTGCCCTTCATCCTGCAATCGAACCATGATTGGGCCTCTCTCGTGGAGTCCTGCTTCTTGCCATCGAGTACCTTGGCCTCGGGGTGCTCTTCCTGGCAACTGCAAGCCCCCCACCCCTGTCTTTCACCTCCAGCCCTTAACCTCTGGGGCAGAGGGCTAGGGGATGGAGAACTGGAAATTGTCCTAGAGACAGTGACACCACAGAGCAGACATGTGTATGACTAGCTGGCTCCTCTGTAGCCTGTATATGGCCATTCATTGAGTTCTCGCAAGAAGCCCTTGTAGAGATAATGAAACAGACACAGAGCTCTTTGGCCTAAGGTTGGTGGGTGGCACGCTGCTAGCCACTGGCCATGCTGCCCCGGCGTGCGGTCCAGGCTGCTGAGTGCTGTTGTTCCCAAGGTGCTTGGAGTGGACAGGCATGGAGCAGCAGGTAGTGTAGGCTGCCCCAAGCTGCAGACGTCTCCTCGCACGAGCATCTCTGTGGCTGTGCCTTGTTGGTCCCCCCCGTCTTACTGGGAAGCTCGCCGTGATGAACTTGCATAGGAGATCCTTGGGGAGGTGCCTGTTGGCCCATTTCCCATCTGGGGAGGGGACACCATTATGGCCTCCTGAGCAGACTCAGCCACTCTTTGTTTCATGAATCCCTCAGTGCTGCCTTCCACCACCCAGTGTCCAGGGACCCTCAGGGAATGAGGACAACTAAGTGAGTGTCCTGGGCTTTGGGAGGTGGAAGAAGGTGTGCACATAAGCATGGTTTCAGGAAAGTGGCTTCTGGGTGGCCAGGGTGTGCTTGGGTGCTAATGTTGGCATCTTAAGGGTGCCAGGTCCCCAGAGAGGGAGGGCTTGGGGGCCCAGTTCTCAATGAGTGATGGTGGCATGAAGGTGGGTGGGAGGGCAGGGAAGACAGGGCCTCTGCCCTGCACCTTCCCTTTAGATTCGTGAATCCCAGGTAGACCAACGGCTCAATGAATGCTGGGGAGCTGAGCCGCCCTACAGGCCAGCAGCAGATGAGTTAAGAAGCAGCTGGCTCAGGGTCCGTTGAACCAGAATCCTTCCTCGGAGTGGGAGTCGTGTCTGGTGACAGGCTTTGTCTGATGGAGAGAATAGAGATTGGGGACAAAGGCGGGGATGAGGAGCTTGGCTGCTCTCTCTCCCCACAGCTGATCAAGGAACAATTTTCACAAAGATGGACCCTAAAAATAGCTTCAAGCTGGCCACGTTCTTGCCAGCCCCACCCGAATGCAGCTGCCTGACCAGGTCTGCACAGCCCTCAGGGCCCACGGGGTTGGTCAAAGCCACAGGAGACGCTGGCCACCCTGCCTGTGTCTGTGCCTCTCGGTCGGTGTAGAAGGACCCCACCCAGGGGTGGCACAGAGATCTCATTCAATACCGACCTGCCTAGGACCCATGTGGACAAAGCTGTCCTGTAGATGGACCCAGGCAATAGTGAACAGGTTGTTGTTTTGTGTGTTGAATCATCTCCAACTTAGAGCCCTCCTGAGTACAAGAGAACACAATGTTGCCCATCCTGCGTCCCCCACGAGCCTTACTCTGTTTGAGTTCATGTTGAAGCCACTACGTCAGTCCGCCTTGTTGAGAGTCTCCCTGTTTTTCACGGACACGCTACACTCTGTCCAGTGTAATGTCCTTCTCCGGTGATGGGGGTCCCTCCTGATTTCTGGCAGTCCACAGTGTATTCATACTCTTTCCCAACAGCACAGTTCAAACGTGCTACTTCTTCGCTCTTCCATTTTTGTCGTCCAGCTTTCACATGCATATGATGCGAATGAAAGGACCGTAGTTCTTAAAGTGAGCAGACGAAACCCAAACCCGCTGCCAGAGAGTCGGTTCTGGCTCACACTGACCCTGTAGGACAGGGTAGACCTGCCTTTTTGGATTTCCAAGATTGTAAGTCTTTACAGGAGCAGATAACCTCATCTTTCTCTCCTGTGGCATGGCTGCAGGGTTTGAACTGTTGATAGCAGCTCAGTGTGTAACCCACTATGCCACCGGAGCTTCTTGGGAGTGAGCAGAGGCATGGAGAAATAAGGGCCCCCACAAAAAGTAAAGTAAATGGAGCCAGGTGGGGCCTCTGGAGCGTCTCTTGGTGGTGCCACACCAGGAAGAACGTGCCTGTCTCCTACTCTCTTCCCTGTACTGTGTGACACTGTTGAGGTCAGACTAGTTAGCTGATATAGGAGGAAAATGTCAGGTGTGGAGAAGAAAAGAGGGGTCATATCTTCTCTAGTGTAAGTAGCCAGCTGCAGGGGCCAGCCCCGGCGCAGAGACAAGGCCAGTGTCAGATGTGTTAGAGGTTTTGATTGGCAGCTGGGAGTGGACACTTGGAATGATTGGATTGAGATGCTGTTTGTAACTTAGAGTGATTGTTTTACTCTGTTAGCCAGGAGGCATCAGAAAAGCCCTAGGATTGGTCCTCATTTGCATCCGGGGGCATGGGAAGGATTGCCCCCACTGACCATGTTTACAGAGCTAGTGGGAGGTGAAGATAATGCTGATTTGTGATTCTTGTTTTCCGACTCAGCACCCCTAATGCCACAGAATGAAAGTGCTGCCCTCACAGTTGTGTGTGAACCTGTTGTTGCTACTACTGTGTGAATCCATGGTGTTGCTGAGAGGGCTTGTCTTTTTCGATGACCGTCTACTTTACCAGAATGTTCTTTTCCAGGGACCGGTCCCTCCTGATACCATGTCAGAATATACGGGGCAGAGTCTCACTATCCTTGCGTTCTGGCTGTATTTCCTGAAAGACAGATTTGTTTTGAACATATGCTACCTCTTGAAATGGTCGAATGGTTATGATTGATGTTGGTAAGTGCCGTTGAGTCTGTTCTGACTCATAGCGACCCTATGTGAGGTTTCCGAGGAGCAGTTCAGTGCTTATCCTATAGCAGCACAGCATTTGTTTTATGATTCTGCATATGCTTACTGTGCTAATGAAGATCGAGAAGATACTGTTCAGCTGCATCAATACAAAGGCTACATTTTGAGGTTAGAGCAGATGAGGCTTGCTTATAGATTGGATGTGTAATGTGAGAGAAAGAAGACTCAAAATGATGCTGGATTTTCCACCGAGAAGTGGAAAATTGGGTGCAAGGCATTTGCTTAGGTGTGTTTCACTGTGGGGAGGAGGTGGCACTTAGGAATCCTGTTTTGGCCCTGTATGCTTTCCTCCAAGTGGAGATGTTGATTCTGTATTGGCTGTCTGAGCAGGAAGTTCAGAGGAACAGCAGGGCTGAAGGTGGTCGTTTGAAGTTTAAACTTGTGGGAGAGGCGGACTCACCTAGGGAATGGATGTGCATGCAGAAGACAAAGCCACATGCATAAAGGCAGTTGAACATAGCTTGACTTGGGTCTAGCATACCTTGGTCTTCCAAGTGACATCTTTGCTTTTTTTTTTTAAATTAACATTTTAAAGAGGTTTGTCCAATAATATAGATAGTGTGTGATTTCTTGACTGCTACTTTTATGGGTGTTGATTGTGGGTCCAAATAAAGTGAAATCCTTGACAACTTCAATCTTTTCTCAGTTTATTAAGATGTTGTTTATTGTTTCAGCTGAGAGGACTTTGGTTTTCTTTATCGTGTGATGTAATCTTACTGAAGGTTGTAGTCTTTGTTCTTCATCAGTAAGTTCTACAATTCCTCTGTACATTCAGCAAACAAAGCTGTGGCATGTCATTATTGTAGGTTATCGACTCTTTCTCCAACCTGATGGCGCATTCTTGTTTATATAACCCAGCTACTCAGATGATTTGTTCAGCACACAGATTGAATAAGTAAAATGAAGGAATATAGTCCTGGGGTGGCGCTGTGGGTTAATGCATCAGACTGCAGATTTCTTTGAACTGCAAGGTCAGTGGTTCAAGCTCACCAACTGCTCCTTGGAAACCCTATGCAGGGTCACTATGGGTCGGAATTGACTCGATGGTACTTAACAACAACAACAACAACACACCTTTTTTCTGTTTTAAACCATGCAGTATTCCCTTGTTCCATTTGAATAACTGCTTTTTAGTCTATGTACAAGTTCCTAATGAGCACAATGAAGTATTCTGGAGTTCCCGTTGTTTGCAACGTTATTCGTAATTTGTTAGGCTACACATAGTTGAGTGCCTTTTCATAGTCAATAAAACATAGGCAGACCTCTTTATGATCTCTTCTGTTTTCAGCCAGGATCCGTCTGACATCAGCAATGATACCCCTCGTTCCGTATCCTCTTCTGAATTTGACTTGAATTTCTAGTACTTGATGTACAGCTGCCACCATTTTTGACTGATCTAAAGCCACGTTTTACTTCTATGTTGCATTAGTGCTTGCATGTGGCTGTTGGAGTGAAGTGCCTTGGAGTTGGTTCTGTCTCATAGCGAGTCTATATAGGGTTTCCAAAGAGCAGCTGGTGGGTTTGAACTGTTGACCTTGTGGTTAGCAGTCCAGTGCTTATCCTACAGTGCCACAAGATATTGATGGATAACTTTTGCATTCTATTGGAGATCACCTTTGCTTGGCCACGTAGTTGTCTTCCAAGTTTCTTGGCAAAGGCAATGAGCACCTCCATCACTGCATCCATTTGTTGAAACAGCTCAATTGGTATCCTGTCCAGTTTCCTGGAGGCTTGTTTGGTGGGGTTTTTTTTGCCAGTACCTTCAGGGCGGCCTGAACTTCTTCCTTCGGCACCGCTCTTTCTTGATCCTATGCTACCTCCCAAAGTGGTTGGATGGCAGCCATTTCTTTTTGGTTCAGTCACTGTGTTCTTCCATCTTTTTTGATGTTTCCTGTGTCATTCAATATATTGCCCACTAAAAACAACAACAGCAAAACACGAAAAACAAGCCCACTGCCTTCAAGTTGGTTCTGACTCATAGCGACCCTGCATAGGGTTTCTGAGAGTATAAATGTGTCTGGGGCAGACAGCCTCATCTGTCTACTGTGGAGCCACTGGTGGGCTTGAATCATCA